AATTTAAAAAGTAAAGCAAAAACCCAAAAAACCCAAATGGTATCTTGCTCACTCCTCCTAACCACTAAGGGTAGGTCTCATCGCCTGCATTTCTCGGGCAGGAACAGAACAGAAAGAAGGCGATCGGCCTCGCCTCGTGTCACTTGAGTAGAGCTCATAATAAGTGGTTCATTAAGAGTGATAAACCAGGCAGACATTTACACTGAAAGTCAATAGTAGAAATTATACAATGGAGAAATGAGTCAATAGTGCTTTTGATTTTTACAACAAATCCCTCTAAATAATTATTTAGTCCGTACTCTTCTTTTATATTGTACATACCCTTTTTCTTATAGTTGAAGAAGAAACATAGTGAAGTAAAATGAATTGGCCAGCAGAATTCAGTGTACCAGACCACTGGCGAATCCAGACTTCCTATTTCTTTGGCCCATGTACTTTCCTCCCTATGCTGCATTGCTTATTTGCTTTGAATTCTTGAAGGGCTCACAGTTAATAGCTGTCAACGTCAGCATTGGCCTGGAATCTAGCTACACCATAATCAGGCGACAATTAATGAAGTCGTCTTCATTTCTCTCCCCAAATCTGTTATACCTTTCAACTCCACCATAACAGTGGATGAGCAGGAATGGATCTGGCTGTCATGCAGGCACAGTGGCAAGAATGGAACTAAAATTAAGAATGAATGAATACTATCAGTTCTTAGTTTTACATTACCACTCACTGGTTACTGAAGTTTAAGCTGCTGGTACTAGTATCACACTCATTATGAGGGTAAGGTTGAAGAAAAACTTTCCAACAGAAAAAGCCAATTTTAACAGCAACGAGTACAAAAAGGAAGAAAATGTTCTAAAATGAATTGTAGTAATCGCGGAATCCTATTGAATTGTATGATAGGCCAATAAATTTTGTTTTTTAAAAGAGAGAAAGCCCCTTTTGATATTTGAGAAAATGAGTGGTATCCTAGAAGACAAATCATTTCCCTACCACATTCCCAGCCTGATAGGAATTAAATCTATGTTTCTTGTCCCGGCAGTACAGTGAGCGAAGCACTGGGCTGTAAACCTCAAGGTCAGCAGTTCGAACCCAGCAGCCACTCTGTGGAAGAAAGATGATGCTTTCTACTCCCATAGAGTTACAGTCTGGGAAACCCCAGGGCAGTTCTATCCTGCGGTACAGAGTTGCTAGGAGTCAAAATCGACTCGATGGCACAGAGTTGGTTTTTTCAGTGTACCATCACAAATGTATTAACACTGGAGACTTATACCGGCAAAGAGGCCGTCTTTAGCACTGCCTGTAAAATCAGGCAGACATCCCTGGTTGCACAGTGGTTACATGTTGGGCAGCTAACATGTAACCGGGGCTTTCTACCCCCAGCAGCAGTTCTATGCCATCCTATACAGTCATTATGAGTCGGCACTGAATCAATGGCAGTGAGTTTGGTCTTCAGTTTGGTAAAAACCGGCAATCCATCACCCTGGTTTAAATGCTGGTACAGTCACTTCTATAAAGCCTGGTAGTGCAGTGGGATAAGCACTGGGCTGCTAATCTCAAGGGCAATGGTTCAAACCCACCAAATGTACCACTGGAGAGACAAGGTTTTCTGCTCTCATTAAGATTTACAGCCTCTTAACCCTCTGGAGCGGTTCTACTCCATCCTATAAAGTCACTGAATCACAATCAACTCAACTGCAGTGGGTGGGTTACTATTGCTTTCTATTTTTGAGCTCCTTAGGCTCTTGGTACCTTTTCCCATCGTTAAATGAGCAAGCTAACAGGAACAGATGTCTGATGTAAGGATGAAATGAGTTAAAGGATGCCAAAAGATTGCTAGGTGCTTGACACCTAGCAACCACTCAAAAAATTAAAAAAAAAACCCACTGCCATTGAATGATGCCAACTCACAGCGACCCTACAGGACAGGGTAGAAGTGCCCCTCTGAGTTTCTGGGCTGTAATCCTTTACAGGAGTAGAAAGCCCCATGTGTCTCCCAACCACTCAATACAAGTGAGCTAGTATCACTGTTATTATTTTCAAGCAGTCAAGGAGCACAACTGAATATATGGTTCAGAAAGAATTCTAAAACCAGTTTGTAGGCCAACCTGGAGAGAAAAGATTCTACCTCCTTCCATGGCTCACAGGAACCAGGTTGGCAGAATTTATCCATTCTTTGGGAAATTGCTAAGTATTGATCATTTAAGAAAGAAGTGCCAGAGCAATGTCTCCAGGGAATACCAAAAATAGACTTTGGGGCCAGGGCAGGGCACGCCATTAGACTTGACTGGAAAACACTCGTACAGGTCAACAAACAGACTTGCAACTATTTATAGTTTTTTCCTTTTTTGCCGTTGGTTTTTTTTTTTTTTTTAATGATGATGGCAACATATGTACAAATGTGCTTGACACAATGGATTTATGTATGGATTGTGATAAGAGCTATAAGAGCGCCCAATAAAATGATTTTTTAAAAAAGAAGTGCCATTAATACTTGATGGCATTTCTTGATGTGCTAATTATGCAAAGTTCTAAAAATCTTAGGGAAAATTCCTTACCGTTTCAAAGAATATCTCCATCATGCGAGTTCTCTTTTCCTCTGCACTCAGTCCTTTTTTCTTCGACTGAAGCACAAAAGTGAAAGGGTAAACACTGTGTTTCACAACAACGTGGGTCTTAACCGTTAGCAGAGATGTCGTGAGTGACTGTGACCATACCAGCAGGGTTTGACTTCTCAGATTTATCGTACTTACCGTGCCACGTGCCTCCTCACTGCTGGCCATGGTTAGGTCCCAAAGACGAGATGTGAAAATGGAGGATATCCACGTCACCTGCACTATGCCCTGCTGAGGTCACTTGCTACCACTATGTCACCCATGTGGCTTCAGGAGAGCTCAGTTCCCATCAGTACCCATTGGGGAAGGTCAACTAGTCTTCCAGAGTCAGGGTGACCCAAATGTCGCCTCCTCCTCATCCCTGGAGTCCTCTTTGCTCACGATATTTTCAGGATGGGTGGTCCAGGTGAGTCCCTCCAATAAAGGCCCCAGTGTCTTTGTTGGGGGTGGAAGGGCCTGAGCAAGGGGGTGCACAGCCTGTGAAGTCCCCCCAATAGCCCCTTACCCAAGCATCCCCAGCTCTCTACTGCCCCCACCCTCCACCCCCAGCTCCACACTCCCATGAAAAGTGACAATCCCAAGCTTCCTCGGAGGTTGTGACAGCCAGGCCTGGCCTCTGCCCTTGATCTTAAATTGAGCTGGCTGCTGACATGGTGATCTTGACCCCACCCTCACCCAGAAGGGAATGTCAAAGAAGCATAGATATGGGTCTGCAGCAAGTCCACTTCAGAAGCCCAGGTGGCATAGTGGTTTCCATTTGGGCTACTAACCACAATGTTAGTAGTTCAAACCCACCAGCCTCTTTGTGGGAGAAAGAGGAGGCTTTCTACTCCAGTAAATATTTATGGTCTCACAATCCAAAGGGGCAGTTCTACCCTGTCCTATAGGGTCACTATGAGTCAGAATTGACTGGATGGCAGTTTATTTTTTGAGGGGTGGGTTTCTGATCATAGCTGGCCCAGTCCTGCCACCTGTGGAGCTGACGCCAGTCCTGGTGCAGTAATTGCCCATTGTTGGCTGTGATTTGCAGGGTCGGCACTGGAAACCACCAGTTGCTCCTTAGAAGACAGGCAGGGTTTCTCCTCTCAGAAACAGCTAGAGTCTGGGAAACGCACAGGGCAGTCCTACTCTAATCTAAAGGGCCACAATGAGATGGCATCAACTGTGAGTTTGGAGTGACTTATAACTGAGGAAATGCTACATGCAGGAATTCTTGGGTTCATTCCCAGGACCACAGAAATCAGGTCTACCCTGGGCAGAGATGAAAGTCATCATCCTGGAGGTTTGGGGAGGAGATTTTCAGAGGGGGGGCAGAGCACACAACGGCACAATGGCCCTCTGGGACAGCTACTGTGCCGGTGTGTGCACAAGAGATGAGAAAGACAGTCAGGAAAGCTGACTGTCCAGCCATGGAGAGGGAACTTTACTCTCAACAATAAGCTACTGAGCAACTAGAGCAGCGGTTCTCAACCTGTAGGTCTCGACCCCTTTGGGGAGTGTCGAACGACCCTTTCACGGGGGTCACCCGATTCAGAACAGTAACGAAATTACAGTTATGAAGTAGCAACAAAAATAATTTTATGATTGGGAGGTCACCACGAGGAACTGAATTAAAGGGTTGAAGTATTAGGAAGGTGGAGAACCACTGATTTAGAGCAAGCCAGTAACAAACCTCGAGTCCCCTAACCTTTCTTTCTGCTCACTTTCAATCCTCATTCTGCACTAATATTATCGCTGGAGTCCTGACATGGTTTTAGTCAGACTATAATAGTGGTCATGTGGAAAGCAGGCTCAGCCAATTAGAAATGGAAACCCATTTCAGGTTACTACTAGTCTCCAACGGCCCTTTCACCAAAGTCCCTGGTGGTACAAATGGTTAATGCACTTGACTGCTAACCAAAAGGCTGGAGGTTTGAAGAAAGACACCTCAGAAGAAAGGCCTGGCAATCTACTTCTGAAAAACCAGCTGCTGGAAAGCCTCCGGTGTTCTTCTCTGACACATACGGGTTGCCATGAGTTGGAAGAGACTCGGTGGCAACTGGGTTAATGGGCTTTTCTGGACACTTCATCAAAAACAAATTGGAGTCCTAGCGGAGGTATAGTGGGCTGCACGTTGGGTTGCTAATCACAGGGTCAGCAGTTTGAACTTACCAGCCACTCCAAGGGAAAAAGATGAGGCTTTCTGCTCTTGTGAAGAGTTACAGTCTCAGAAATTCTAATTCTGTTCTAGAGGGCAGCTACCAGTCAGAATCAACTTGATGGCAATGACTTTGGTTTTTTGAATTTACATTGCCACTGAGTTGATTTTGACCCTTTAACCCAGTGGTTCTCAACCTTCCTAATGCTGCGACCCTTTAATACAGTTCCTCATGTTGTGGTGACCCCCAACCATAAAATTATTTTTGTTGTTACTTCATAACTGTAATTTTGCTATGGTTATGAATCGGGTGACCCCTGTGAAACGGTCATTCAACGCTCAAAGAGGTCGCGACCCACAGGTTGAGAACTGCTGCTTTAACCAATGTGAAACTGAGATAATTAATGTGCAACTGAAATGTGTAAGTTAATAAATGTTATTATATGTCGTGTATAGAGTACATAAGGAGGCCTGGTGGCACAGTGGTTATGTGTTGGACTGCTAATCACAAAGTCAGCAATTTGAAACCACCAGCAGCTCCATGATCGAAAAGGGGGCTTTCTACTCCAGTAAAGAGTTACAGTCGTGGAAACTCACAGGCACGGTCCTACCTTGGCCTCTAGGGTCACTAGGAGCTGCATCAACTCAATAGCAATGAGTGGTTTTTGGGATATAGAGCAGCACATGCAACAAGATAAATTTAATTTTTTAAAGTCAGATTTCCTTAAGATAAAGATTTGTAGGAAAGAAATGGCAGACATCAAGAGTCATCCTTGCCAGTAATCTAGTGAATGCCAGTAGTGAATGTTTCTGAAGTGGTCAGCATCTTTCTCAAAAATTACGTATTTATGGGAATATAAAGTATTTAGTAAGAACTTCCAGACACTTTACGTCACTTTAAAGGCAGAGTTAAATAAATAAAACAATTAAAGACTGACCCCTATCCAATCAAAAATGCAGTCAAAAAACTACAAGAGGGAGAAACAATTTGGAATTGCCATGATGAATACACACCAGAGTATGAGAGTCTTCATTCTACCAGAGCCTAGAAATTAGACCCACCCTATGCCACTGAGTCAACTTCAACTCCTAGCAATCCTATCGGACAAAGTCGACCTGCTCCTCAGGGTTTCCCAGCCCTCAAACCTTCACAGGAGCAGACAGTCTCATCTTTCTCCCGCAGAGCGGCTGGTGGTGTGGTTACCTGCCCAACTTTCTCCTGCCGAGAAACTGATGGGGTGGAACCACTGACCTCATGTTAGCCAGTCACTGGTCCCACCAGTGGGCTCCTGGAACCTAGAAACCCATTCTTAGAGCCACACCTAAAAAATCAGCAGGGGTTTCTTGTCTCAGAGTTTCTACTTTTTTCCTTCTCTTTCCTCCGTCAGCACTGCTGTTGACCCCTCATGCCCTCGCACCTTTAGATCTTGTTTGCTTGTGTTTCTAACACTGATGCCAATGCATCAGAGCTAAGCCCTCACCTGGGTATCCATTTCTTGGGCCTCCCTGCCCACAGGACACACTTCAAATTCAGAAGCCCAAAACTGAATTCTTCTCTCCCATATCTATTTCCCACACTCGCTAGTCTCCCTTTTGCATCTCACCCAGATATCATCTTGCTACCGCAGCCAGACATCCTTAATTCCTTCACCTTCTTTAACCCACATCTAACTAATCACTCAATTCTGCCGATTTTAGTCCTACACTATTTATTAAACCTATCCTCTCTGTTCCATCTCTATACCGTTACCTGATTTTAATCTTCCTTTTCTCTCTCCTATGACACACCCAACTTCCATCCACGCTTTCTGTCTTCCTTACATTGACATACCACCCCATCGAAGGACAACCTTGACCATGCCTGTCCCTGCCTAAAGCACTGCACTGATGCCCAACCAGAGAGAGCTAAGCGTGCCTGGAAGGGTCCATAAGACCCCCTAACTGCCTACTGACTCCAATGCACCCCTCACAGCAGCTTCTCCTACCACTCCCCACTTGAAATCTTACCATTAACACATCGAGAGCTAAGCAACTTGAGCTATAATACAAACAACCGCTTAGTCTTTTGTTGTCATGCTGGCCTCAGTCTCTCGAGCTCAAACACCTTTCTTCATCTGCCTCCTTGACACTCCACATCTCCGAAGCATTGATTCTCCAGGAGGACACCAGGTTCAGCTGTGCCTGAAAAGTGCTACTTGTTCCTCTCAACGGAAAAACGGCTTCAAAAGAGAACTGGCTTTGCCTTCTCAAGGCTTAGTGCCAGGTTGGTTAGGGAGACAGTGGAGAAAAATGAATGAAAACAAAATAACAAAACCCTGAGTTAGTTTATTGTGCCAACTTGGCCAATAAACACATGTGGGGTTAATTGAAGGGCAGAGGGATAAATGGCTCGGCAAGCCTCGCCTTTCTAGTTCTCGGGTCTCTTGCTTTGTGATGGTTGCACAAGGGTGCAGCTGCCTTAGCAGTTCCCTGCTTCAGCTTGCAAGATTGACTTCCTGCAAGACATCCCCATGGAGAAGCCACATGGACCCACCCCGATGCAGCCCTGGGTGCTGGAGCACCCATGTGGAGACACCTGCTAGCACTGAGATGTTTACACATTCACTGACTCAGCTTTCCTCCTGCAGTCGGCATCACTGCCTCTGTTTTGTGAGATGGAAGAGAACTTTGTGGATTGGTGTTGGACATATGGATTAATAGGTTAATGTTGGACTTGTGGGCTTGGGCAGCACTGGGTTGAGATGTTTTCTTGATGTGCACTTAACCTTTATATAAAACTCTCTCTTATAGCTGAGTTGCTGTGGATTTGTTTCTCTAAAATACCCAAGACTAATACAGACCCTATAGAAAGGGTAGAACTGTCCTTGTGGGGTTCTGAGGCTGTAACAAACTCCTTACAGGAGCAGAAAGCCTCGTCTTCTGAGGAGTGGCTGGTGCCTTCTGCTGCCCCATGTATGACCTACTATGGCACCAGAGAAAATCCTTCATTTATGGATCATGTATCTATCCTCAACCTTAAAAGGTGAAGATACCCAGGCTTCCAAGCCCAACTGCCCCCAAATACCCTCCACACTCCCCAAAATACAATACTTGGCAGATTAGTAATAGGGAATTCTACAATAACCACATAGGAGCCCTGGAGGAATACTGGGCTGCCAACCACAGGGTCAACAGTTCAAAACCACCAGCAGCTATATAGGAGAAAGATGAGGCTTCGTATTTCTTTAAAGGTTTACAATCTCCGAAATGTACAGGGGCAGTTCTACTCTATCATATAGGTCCAGAATTGACTCAGTGGCAGTGAGTTTAGATTGTGAGATAACTATTTCTTGCCGAGGTGGAGAAATCCGTAGGGAGCTCCCAGGTGGGTGAGATTAGAAGCTAGCAAGACTTTGTTAGCATCTCTTCACACACGCCTCTGCAGTGTTTGAATAAACCAAGTATGGAATTCATAGCTAGTTAAATGGCCCCTTCAGCTCATTTCTGCAGTCCAGTCATTCTCAAACTGAGTGATACTTTATAATCGTCTGGGGGCTTTGAAAAGGTACTTCTGCCCGGGCATCCCCCATATCAATGAAATCAGAATTTCTGGGATGGGGGCAAAGCCTCCATATTTAAAAAAAACAACCCTATGCAGGGGCTCTAATTGTGTCCCAGGGCTGGAAACAGTGCTTTCCTTAGTCATGGGAGCGGAGATTCCCTAAAGTCTGTGGCTCCGCCAGGAGCTACAGACACCAAAGCTTTAGAAAAGCCTCCTAACATCTTGGAGATGCTGTGAAGTTTCTTAGAGAGCCACCCAACAACTCCCTAAGACTCTGCCACCCAGAATCAGGCAACGAGGACACTCAAGGGGACACAATTTTAGTAAAACTCATAGCTCAGGTTTGTTAGGTATCACCAAGTCAGACTCACAGCAACGAAGCATTACATAGTCCTAGCTCAGAGTAGTTACTCAAAAAAAAAAAGAAATGCCGGTGGCTCATAGCATTCATTTACATGGCTTTCAGGTTAATTCTTCTTTTTTCTCGTGATAGAAATTGTATCACTAACCAGAGTAGGAGAGTATTATACCCTGAAGTAATGTGAAAGGATACTACATAAGAATACTTTTATTAGGAAATAGTGGAAAGAACTAGGAGGCAAAGGGCATTCATAGAGGTCTAAATAAAGGCATGTACATATGTAAATATACTTATATAAGAGGATGGGGAAATAGATCTATGTGCATATATTAACAGATTTAGTATTAAGGTAGCAGATGAACATTGGGCCTCCATTCAAGTACTCCCTCAATGTAAGAATACTTTGTTGTATTACACTGGCATTCCGTGATGTTCACCTTCCCGACACAATCACTGAAGACAAAGCGAGTGAATAAGCAAATGTGATGAAGAAAGCTGATGGTGCCCGGCTATCTGGGGTCCTAAAGGCTTGAAGGTAAACAAGCGGCCATCTAGCTCAGAAGCAACAAAGTCCACATGGAAGAAGCACACCAGCCAGTGGGATCACGAGGTGTCAAAGGGATCAGGTGTCAGGCATCATCAGAACAAAAAATCGTATCGTTGCGAATGAGGGGAGGGAGTGCGGAGTGGAGACCCAAAGCCCATTTGTAGGCCATTGGACATCCTCTTACAGAAGGGTGTCTGGGAGGAGAGGAGCCAGTCAGGGTGCGATGTAGCAATGATGTAACATACAACTTTCCTCTAGTTCCTAAATGCTTCCTCCCCCACCCCCCACTATCATGATCCTAATTCTACCTTACAAACCTGGCTAGACCAAAGGATGTACACTGGTACAGATAGGAACTGGAAACACGGGGAATACAGGACAGATGATCCCTTCAGGACCAGTGGTGTGAGTGGCGATACTGGGAGGGTCGAGGGAGAGTGGGTTGGAAAGAGGGAACTGATTACAAGGAACTATATGTGACCTCCTCCCTGGGGGATGGACAACAGAAAAGTGGGTGAAGGGAGATGTCGGACAGTGCAAGATATGACAAAATAATAATTTATAAATTATCAAGGGTTCATGAGGGAGGGGGCAGAGGGATGGAGGAGAAAAAATGAGGAGCTGATACCAGGGGCTTAAGTGGAGAGCAAATGTTTTGAGAATGATGAGAACAATGAATGTACAAATGTGCTTTACATAATTGATGTATGTATGGATTGTGATAAGAGCTGTATGAGCCCAGAATAAAATGATTTAAAAAAAAAAAGAATACTTTTATTTAGTAATTCCTCCCAAAATGGATCAACAAGGGCTCATTTAATACTTAAGACCAGAAAAACAAGTTCTTGATAGTGTAAATTATAAATTAATAAGGAAACAAAAATTGATGTGAGAATAAGCATATCCTGGTTGAACAATGTACTAGAACCCATTTAAAAACAACCAGTCAAAAGTCAGCCTTGTTGATCAATTATAGTAAAACTCTGAACATTTAAAAAGTAGATGTCATCCGCTGCCCTTAGAGTTGGTAAGCTGTATTGCAAGTCACCCACCATACCCAATTGAATCAAAGCAAATAGGTGCTGTGCACTTCAGGCATGAGAAACACCTTTGACCACTCTTGGACCAACACAACACTGAAGTTATTTCTTGATCACACACAGAACTAGAGTACAAGGCCTCTGAAAAGTTTTGAAGTAAGCTTTCCGAAAGCAACATGTGAAACTATTCAGTATGAGAAAGTGAATCACCTGCGAAGAGTTGATTAGGTGAAAGGCCAAAGTTCATGCATTGGTGCCTGGAGTTCTCAGTTGGCAGTTACAGTAAACAGCTGGACAAAGAGAAATATGATAACAGATTTGTTTTAAGTGTTTGGCTTCGTTGACCAGTTTATGCCCAGGTGGCGGGGTCCTTTGCTGAACCACAAAGAAGCCGTTAACAGCTATAATTACATCTGGACCAGCATCTTTAAACAAATACCGTGCCACCAAGTTCCGGCCCACCTTTACTTTGGCGGAGTAACATCTCTTCACTGAAGTCCGATGTTAAACCCTCAGATCTATTAGATCTCGATTCTTTGCCAACAAAAGTAAAGTAACTCGAAACATGGTAGAGCTAGGGAAATGATTATAGGAGCAAAAAGGCAATGTGTATGTTTACCAAAAATGTAAGCCACGATGGTAGGTAAGACAAAAAAACAACAAAACCCTCACTGACATGGAGTCAAGGGGACGGCATAGGGCTGGGTGGACAAGGGCCGCTCTTGCCCAGGGCCCTGCTATCCGAGGAGGCAAAGTCCCCACGCAACCTGCCAGAAGACTTCTGCCCTTGGGTAAAAATCGAAGGACAAAACCGATCGAATTAGCATAAAGTGAAGGCCCGTTGGGTTAGCTCTGCAATTCTGAGCAAGTGAGCAAGGCGTGCTGTCCGTTACAATCCACAACACCACTGGGTCGCGAACAAAACCGCACGAGCGCGTGCATTCGGGGCTCTCGGCCGCACCGCTGCTTCCCGCGCTCGGGTCGCCGGCCGTGACCGTGACCGTGACCGTGGGAAGCCGGCGCGGGCTGGCGCAGCCGGCGGGTCTACCACAAACCAGAGTTTGTCCGGGACCCGCGGGAGAAACGGGACTTTCGGTCCCCAGAACGAGCGACGCCCCGGAAACCCTCGGGAACAGTTCCCCTGCCCGACGGGGGCCAGCTCGCTAGTGGGAGAAGCCGGGCGCCCGCGGCTTCGGGGAGGGGCGTGGGGGAGGGGCAAGGGCTGGGAGGCGAACCCCAGGGGAGGCGGCCGCGGCAGCCCCGGTGCGCACCCCGAGTGCCCAGGGGCCGCTCCGCCGCGCTCAGGAAGTGGGGGGCGGCCGCGGCGTCGGCCTGGCGTCGCTTCCTGCGCTGGGGGCGACCATGGCGCCGGTCTCCGCAGCCCACGCCACTACCTCACGCGGTGGGGGGGCTCCGAATCCCCGGCCCTGGTGGGGCGGAGGGTGACTCGAGAACGAGGCCGCAGCTCTTACCATCGCGCGGGCGGCAGGTCTTCCCACAGCTGGGCTTCCGCTCGAAGCAAGGGAAGGGCCGGGCCGAGGCGGGTTTAATTTTGGCGCCAACCCGGGGCCCGGGTTCTCGGGGGAAGGAGGAGGAAGGAGGTGCCTCTTGCTCAGACGGCGCGCAGCGGCCCCTGGCGGCCACGCAGAGCAGCGAGCCTGCGTGGGGTGGAGCCGCCGAGCGGGGGGTGTGGCCTTCCGGGTTCCTCCGGTCCCACTAATCCCTGCCTGGTCTTACGTGTAGTTCCCGCTGGTCGTGCTGCGGAGTCCCTTTGCTTCCGGTCGCCGTGGTAAATATTAAACCCTCGCACGTACGTCAGCGTTTCCGGGCGCCGGAAACCGGCTTAAGTTTGCCGGAAAAACTGGAGTGGAGTAGCTGCTGTGTGGGGAAGGGAACGCGGACTCCATACATCTGGATTTGCCCATTCTAGGAAAGACTCCATGGTTCCTTTCTCGCTTCTCTTTAATTCCATCACCTTCATTTTAGTCTCTGTCCACTCCTTTTCCAACTTTAAAAAATCCATTGGTGGCGCATGCGGGGGCTCTTCTTCTGAGCGGGCACTTGAAGGATGCGCCACAAATGCCACACTACTGTCTGAAAGGGGGGACGAGTGACTGCTTCCAGGAACCTTTGTGTCATTAATAAAGGGAGTAGCCCCTTGGCAAACCCGACCCCCCAAAATCCATTTGTATATCTATCTTTTATTTCTACATGCATATATACAATTGAATTTCAAACTTTTGACAATAGAGAGAAAATATCAAATTTCACTAAAGCTTAAAATTATTTTTTTAAGCTTAAAATTATTTTGAGCATTTTTATTTGGTATCTTGAACCGCCATTTTAAGCATACAGAAAAATTAAACATCTGATCTGGATGTATTTTGAGCTCGCATTTAACTATAGCCCTAATGTAAGAGCAATTACTTCTTATAACACCGCCCTACTGGATATTCATCCTCATAAAGCAATCACTGAAGATGCAAGTATTATAAGCAAAGTGTGATGGAGAAATCAGATGGTGAGCAACTATCAGAAAGAATAGCATCTGGGGTCTTTAAGGTTTGTCTTAAAACGAGCTACCTTCTAAGTGAGGTGTCAGCTAAATCCATGTGAGGCAGTAGTAGTACATCAGCCTGTGTGATCCAAGGGCTGTAAATAATAAAATCCAGGACCAGAAAAGGAAATGGTATTAGAGCTTTAAAATTCTGAGTGCCAAGTTTGCAGAAGGCTAAGGGTCATAGTGGAAGCCCAAAATTGATTTGGGACCCGACATGGATTAAGCCTCCACAGAATCCCCTCTGACCATAGACTAGGGGTTTGGACAGCCTTACTATCAAATAGTGCATTGGAAAGTGGATTATTGCAGATGTAGTTAGGTTAAATTTAACGCCTTATTGTTTGATTTCCTTTTGGATCCACTTTAAATTTGTTCTAATTTTTACTGTTCTCTTTTCTATTGAGGTTTTTCTGTGTGTGTATTTTGTTATTTTTACTGGTTTTGGAATGTTTTCCTTTTTATGAACTGCAGGATAGGTAAAACTATAGAGATGGTAACTGGATTAATGTAATAGTTCTTGGGGTTATGCCAGGGGAGGTTGGGGGAAATGGGGAGCTAATAACAATGAGTACAAGAAAGAAGAAAATGTACTAAAATTGATTGTGGTGATGATTGCACAAAACTCTTTTTTAATATGATTTAACTACTCCATTGTATGATAAGTGAATTAAAAGTCAATAAGACTTAAAAATAATAAATAGTAACTTCTGCACACTCGAAAGAGTTAAACATCTAAAAATATAAATTTGTAGCCTCTGTTGAATTTTACAAGGAACCTGTTGGGCCGCTAACTGTCAGGTCTACAGTTCAAAACAACCAGCTATTCTGCTGGAGGGAGACAGGACTTCCAAGACAACAGGGGCAGTTGTACTCTGCCCTGTAGGGTCACACTGCATGGATTCGAGGATGGCAGTCCGTTAGGGGAGTCTTTGTTGGCTGCTTTTTACAGACTCCCCAGTGGCATGGTCAGGTAAACATTGGATTGCTAACCCCAAGATCAGAAGGTCAAACCCAACAGCCGCTTGTGGGGAGCAGGATGTAAAGGTTTGTGGAAAACACTGTATGGGGCACTATGATCGGACATGCCTCCACTGCCTAAGCTTGGTTCAATTGCTTTTTACAGAAAGGTCCACTGACTTGCTTAGAATCCTGCAAATTCAGTGTTTCGTAGAATGTATGATAGCTTTAAAATAGTAACTGGTAAAATAGTAAATAGTAAAATAGTCACCATAATAAAAATTTTAATAGAATAAAATATTTAATAAAATAAAAATGTAATTAGCACTACCTATCCTAGGATTTTGCTCAAAATTCCACTTTAGTGGGTACTTACATTTTTTCAAAAAGGGTAAGACTTGAGAAAAATATTAAATAATCACATGGTGATCTATGAGACTTGCTGAGTCATTACTCTGACACTTGAGAAGCCCTGTCTTAACCTGTTTAAGACCGTTTTTTATCTACCAGCAATAACCTTCTTCGCCTGGCTAATTCTTCCCCAGTCTTTAGATAGCTCAGGTGTTACCTATAGAAATCTTCCTGCCTCTTTACCCCTACCCACAAACAGATGGGGGTTCTGTATAGTTTTAACATGGCATCTCTCATTTATTTTCTTTTTAAAAAATAGTTTTATTGGCACTTCATCCACATCTCATACAATTCAGTAGTTCAGACCTGTCAAGAAGAGTTAGTTATGTAATCTGTACCACCATCAATTTTAGAACATTTTCTTTTTCTCCATACTCAGTGTTATTCATGTAATTTGTTTTTCAATTCTGGCAAAAATATAAACAGCAAAACATTCACCAATTCAACAGCTTCTACATGTGTAATTCAGTGCCATTGATTATACTCTTCGTGTTGTACAACCATCACTGTCATCCTCTCCAAGTTGTTCCTCCACCAGGAAAATGAACTGAATGCCCCCTAAGCGGAAGCTCTTCCTCCTTCACCCATGGTAACCATAGGTCAAATTTTGTTTTTCTTTTTTTAAAGTAGTTTTCTAAATATTCATATACCATACACTTCCATGGTTAAACCGCGTCTAGAAAGAGATGTATATGCATCATCACAATGAGCTCTAACGCTCCCTCCCCGCTCTCATTTATTTTCCAATTGGACATCTTCCCTACAATACCAAACACTTTTCTGTGGCAGGGCCTAAGACATTTGCACCTCACCAAGACCTAGCACGGTGCATGATACATGGTAAATATTGACTAGATATGCTTTAAAAGCATGTACCAGGTAGTCAAGAATACCATCTGGGCATTGACTGAGGAATAACTAGATAGATGTTAGGGGTTCCTGGGTGGTGCAAATGGTTAGGTGCTACTGAGTGGCTAACTGTTCAAACCCACCCAGAAGCAAGCACCTTGGAAGTAAGGCATGCTGGTGTTTCCCAAAGGCCACCCCAGGGAGCAGTGCTATGCTGTCCACATGGGGTGGTTGTGAGGCAGAAGCAACTCCAAGGCAAGCCGTAGGAACTCTGGCTGTTAGACTGCATGTCAACATGATGGTACTTGAGTAGAGGGAGAGGTGAAGTCCAATCTGTCAATTGGTGGCCTTTTCATGAGAGAAGCTGGGACTGTCTCCCTCTCTCTGGCCCTTCACCTTTGTCCTTGCTGGGACTCTGTCTACCTCCAGTGGCAGCCCCATGTGGCCGCCTGACCCCGGGACCCAGTCTCTGAGCTGTCTTCATCCTCCCATGTTCCCAGCAACCTTGGATCTACAAGCCTGTGCACCCACCAGCCTGTGACCTCCCTGCTTTCTGCTTCACCTTTTGGTATCATCAGCCTGCAGCCAAATGAGTCTGAAGAGGGGCCCAGCTGCCATCAGACCTACAGACTTGAGTTGGACTGGGCTGGGACGTCTTCTTGATATAAAATTCCTTCTTGATATAAAGCTCTTTGTTAGACCTAGGTGAGTGTCACTGGTTTTGTTTCTCTAGGCAACCCAGCCTAACACGGCAACAGCAGTAGATACTTGAAACACCGACTGAACTCTGAACGTTTTTCCCCACCGAGTAATGCTTTTCCATTTGCTACTTTCACCAATCCCAATTCATAGATTACACACCATTTACATATATTGAGTGGCTCCATGTTCTGTAGTATATGTTATTAAATATGAACGTCCAAATTTACAGTATCTAAGAGGTCCTCATGAATTTGCCTCATGTAATCGGTAATAATGGTTATAGGACCCACATGGCATTTTTTTTGTTGGATAAATTTTCATTATACAAAAATCCCTTTTTATATCCTAATTTTATGTTTTTTATACCGGGGGTCTACTACCAGACAGAAGCCACCACTCAAAAGAACTTACATTCAGTCAGTGTTGCCTTTCAATATGGGCAGATGGGCCCCTGTTCTTGGGAGGGCTACTTGACGTTGCTGCGAGTTAGAATCAATTCAGTGGCAGTGGGTTTGACTTTTCTGGTTTTGGCTACTCATTTGGGAGGCAGTCTTAGGAAGTAAGAATGAGGAAGTGGTAAGAGTGAGACCGGAAAGGAGAAAAGGCCACTAAAGATGTGGTGGGATTGAGGTCAGAGCTGAATATCCCAATAAAACAAAAACAATCTCATTGCCAGCAAGTACGTTCTCATTCACCAAGACCCTACAAGACAGGGTAGAACTGCACCTGTGAGTTTCTGTGCCTGCAAACCTTTTCAGGACACCTTCCAGAACCGTCCGTTTGAAGAGTGGGAGGCTGAGGCATTTCTCTTACCTCGAATTTCTGGGCTGCACTTCCTTTTGGGCTTCTGGAAATCAGGGAAAGCTTCAAAGCAGAAACAGATACATGGAGTATTTGAAGTGGCGCTCTTCAGCATGTACGTTCTACTGAGGGCAGGCTGTCCTCACACTGCGCACATCCCAGGTCCAAAGGGTGAGTGTTGAGGGAGTGGTGGAAGGGGCTTGGCTCAGTGTGAGAGCCAGAGGTGGTGTCTGGTCTCTTCCTGCACAAAAT